ATAAACATTTTTGCTCAGTGAAATTGTCGTGGATTGCTTCCATGAAAAAAATATTTAATTCAGATAAAAATTTCGCAACTTAAATAATGTCGTAGTCGTACAATAGAGCAAACTTACCTTCATTCTTCATGTCAGAATAATAGAACTTTAAACGTTTTCCATTTTCTATAGCAATTTGCAACCCTCACAATCGATTTGTGACACAGTTGCGCTCCTACTCAAACGCCAGTACCTGCATACAAATACTTGTAAAAGCAGTTTTGAAGGACATTTATCAAAACTGGGGTAAAGTACAGATAAAAGGAGATGAAAATGTGTGATTTTAGGGCTTTACAAATGCATATACATATATGCATGCCAGTATAACTGGATAAATCGGATAGCAAAAGCTTTTGTCAGCAACAAATTCTCAATTTTTCGAAGTAAGATTTCAATCAATTCAGAACAAATATCTGAAAAACATTTGTAGATTTTTTAACTGTTTGATTTTAATTTTTTCTCTCGAGTTATTATTTTTTGTACTTATGAGCTTAATGCGATTTTCAATGCAAATACACATATATGTACGTGTGTATGCCTAAAGCAGCAGAAATATTTTGGGGGAAATGGGTTTGTTCCATGTTAATTTGTGGAAGCAGCTTATTTAACTCATGTTGTTCTAAGTACGTATATATATATACATACGAATGAATATCGGTGATGCTCTCAGTTCGAATAATAAAGTTGAAAAGTTTGAAATACATGAAAATGTGCGCTTATTAAAACGAAAGTTAGTTATAAAATCAAGGTTTGTTTATCCTTAAATAAAGTTCTATATGAAAAATCATATACAAATGTACTCATATTCAATGAAATGCATAAAATTGTAAATTAATCATACCAATAAAAATACAAAATTCAGGGAAGATATGCATGAAAACTTGTATTTGGTATAACAGTGTTTCGCTAAATGCTCATGCTTTAATGAAGTAAAGAAAAGTAGTATCCACTGAAGCGATTTTTGGCCGATTTCTCCTCTAATTTGAGGTACGCGTGGTTTTTCCAACAAAAAGAAAGGCCTACAGTTTATACTAAGATGCCTAAAGGCCAACGGATTTTTATGAGGAGTTGGTATTGAAATATAAAGGGAGGGCTTGACAAAGTATTTTCCGTTGCTATCTATACATTTTTCCCATCTTTCTGGCAATATGTGGATTACGCGCCAAAAGAACTGTTGCTCAGCAAAATCACCTTGTGTTGTCTTTGTTGGTATTCTAGTCGTTTTTCACTCAAAATTCGAACGAAGTCGGTTACCGAGTTAATATGCCCTTCTGATCCCACCAAACATACAGTATTGTCTTTCGTCCGTGGCGGCTTGGTGTTGCCGTCAATGTTGATGGTTCATACGGAGTAACCCATGATTTTTTGTGCTTACGATTCTCGAAATATATCCATTTTTCATCGCCAATCACATTTCGATGCGATTCGGCTGCGGTTTTCTTCAATGAAACTTATTCCATTGTGAGTTGGAAATCTTTGTCGGACATCAATACAATAACAAGACACCCTGACGTGATGTGTCGGTAAATGCAACGACATCTGCCGAAACCTATAGGCAAATTCCGGTTTCATACTACAGACCTGGCATGCCTTCATTATATTTGAAATTCGATTGAAGAGTGAATTAATATAATTCATTTAAAATAATTATATTTTTTTTTCAATTCATTTTAAATTATTTAATTTAAATTAATTTTAATTTTCTTTATTTTCTTTTATTTTATTGAATTTTACTTTAATTTAATTGATGTTATGTAATTTTTTGTTTGTTTTATTTTATTTAATATCCATTAATTTAATTTAATTAATTTTTTTATATTTTATTTTATTTATTTTATTTTATTTTGATTTATTTCATTTTACTTTATTTTTTTATCATATTTTATTTTATTTCGTTATATTTATAGTAATTTAATTTAATTTAATTTAATTTAGTTTAGTTTAATTTAATTTAATTTTTTAATATACTTTTTTTACTTATTATTCTGCATCACTTTATTTTCTTCTTACATTAACTTATATGTATTTACGAGCATTCAGCTAACACAGATTCAAATATATATTTCGTGCCTTCAAATGCTCTCTAAAAGCAAGCGCCGATGGGTGAAAGTGAAATGCAAATTGCAGCTTTGTAGAAAAACATGCAAGCAAACAAAGCAAGTATAGGCGTACAGAAGCGCACAGAAGTGTGTGTAAAGAACAAACACCTAGACACACAAACTGCCGTTATATTAATATAAAGAGCATTTCAAAGCTCATGCAAATGAGTGACAAAAAAGCGCACAATTTGAAAAGCGGATCTCAACCGAGCAATGAATGCAAGCAATGTCGCAAAGCTAAAGAAGTTGAAATTGTGAAATATGAATTGACTGCATATTTACAGGCGCGCGACACTGTTAAGACCACAAGTGGCATTATCATCAGCGACAAATAGTTTCAGAGCAGAAAGTCACACACTTCAATTGTTGGGTGTGTGTGCGTGTGCTTGCTTTAAGTATAGTATTTTTCTCAGTTGTTGGAGCGCACTTTTAAATTCTTTGAGGAATTAGCAAGAATATAAGAGGACGAAGCTGGCATTTTCACAATAAATGCTGAAATTTACAAAACATTTTTAAGGTTGTAATTAAAGTTAAGCTTAAACACTTATAAATATATATTTATATGATAAAATTCTTTTAAATTTTCTTCCAAAACATAACCTATGGTGTTATATGGCCTTGCATGAACCTGACGTCTAGCCTGTGCGAAGTCCTCTACCTGAGAGAGCAGATCCCACACCACAAAGCATCGGACTTGCTTGCACCATCAAATCACTCACACGCAGAACTCTCGGATAATCGTTGAAGCACCTAGTTTCAGATAAAAATCTAGAGCCGCTGCTGGTTTAAGTTGGTCTGAAGCAGCTTAGTAAATAATCGTCACTATTGATTTGGCGCTTTATAAACGCTGTAGCGATTTACACTACCTCCCGCCTTATCATACTCAATCATTATTCGATTTCGATTTCAAACTTGGAAATCAAATAAATTTGAAATAAAAGGGACCTGCCGGACTGGGAAAAGCTAACCGCAAGAGTGCCATAAAATTCCATGAATTAAGACTTCAAAACCAAAGAAATCTTCCGTAGAGATGAGAGTTGAAATCTTACATCAGACGATCAAATCATGTCGAACTAATGAAGAAATCTCTTTCCGTCATAAGTCCTGCGAAATTAGAAATTGTAGCAGCATATTTTTGTTTGATTCACAATAAATAAATGGTTCATTTTCTATTTACTTTGCGGAAAAACTGTCCTAAATATTAAACGACGAAACAACAAAAGTCAGTTGACCAAAGCAAAAAATAAATAATTGGAAAGCAGACAGACAAAGTTTACATTGAACCGTTGACAATTTTTAATTACCCTCATGCAGCAACAATGAGTAAATAAACGCAACGCAACTCAACGCAGCCACCTAAAATACCCCATCACTGCCCCACCAACGACCTACAGCCGTAGACCGCTAGCCACATTGGACTTGGCTTGGCCTTGCCTTACATTGAACTTTGAATTTATTAAAAACGACAGCAAATGATAACGAACGAATGAATGTAGTATGAATGAAAGCAACGAATGAAGATTGAAAGACGGAAAGATGGTGAAATGAGAATGCGCACAAATGCAAATGACCGTTGTTGAATTACGGACGCAATAAAAAAATTGTGCAAATAAATTATATAAAAATATGCGTATGGCTTGAGGAGTATTGTAAATACGCAAAACGTTAATGTTATACAAATGAAGCCAACACACGCACAAGGACGTAGAGAAATCTTTTAAAGATAACCCACACAACCAAATGAGAAGCTCTTGAAAAAAGTTTTTCGTTTTATATTAGACAAATTTTCTCCACAAGCTTAATTAACACTAGTTGTAGAGTCATAACCTCGCAGTGTGTGGTATTTGTGATCTAAGAAATGGAAACAACCGCCCTGACATCGCACTTCGTATGAGTGGTAGTACTCGGCCAACGTTCACTAAGTATAAGCAAAGGGACCTAGTGATCCCTCATGCGTTTCATGATAAAAGCATGAATAGACAAATTTAGACAGTAAGCTACTTTTCTTTAGGAAGCTTTTGAGATCCTTTGTAAAGCTCCTGTTATCTTTAAAGCTCTATAAGTTTTCTTTGTTCTAATTCACTCTACTAGTAATTATCAAAACTGGTCAGCGAATTTAACTCTGCTTGACTATTCGTCGGCTTCCGAATAGTGGCGGTTCCTAAAGAATATTGTTCTTCTATAACTAGGTTGCTCGTTCGTGCAAGCTCATGAGCTTTGCAAAATGGTAGATATTCAACAGAGCTTTTGCATATGAAACTAAGCAAACATTTTTTGAGAAAGCATGGTTGGGATGTGTTCTACCGGTCTTTTGATGGATATTGAAAAATATACTGATATGCTTGCCTATTTGCTGGTTTCTTCAGCATGCATTTTGGTATGCCGAATTGAAAAACATTTTACCTGTCAAATACTCTTATGTTTTCGTATATCCTAACTCAGAGGCACCGCTGTAGAAAACAATCCCTGTACTTTTCATAAAGACAGTCCGTCGGATGGAAACATTTTTGAAGTCCATCCGATCGACTGATATAGGACTTCTTGGACCTTTCCAGAGCATGAATTTCTATAACAAAATTTCGAGGACTTCTATAAAAAAGTTAGAGAGGAGCAGAAAGATTTTAAATGTTTTAGTAATTTCTCTTTGAAGCGTCAGTGCACCGCATATGAAACCCTAATTTTGTATCGTTTGCCTATCCTGCTGATTGGTTAACTGCGAAAACGCTATAAATCTCAACCCTCCCACTCGATGGTGGCTGTTTAATGATAATTGTAAATGTATTTTTAAATGTATATAAATAAATATAGAAATGAACGGCTGTATATGCGCTTGTGAGCTGACAATAGTTGTGCAACACTCACCTGCTTTGCACGGATCCATGTCGATATCATCGGAGAGGCGATGTTGTACTTTCATATTCATCAATTCCTCAATGGAATATTTGCTGTTGTAGTGGCGTTTGGCGCTATAACCACGTAACTGCGGGGTAAATATATTATGTGTATGATGGTGTGTGTAGAGTTTCCGTTGCTGCCAACCACCAACACCCGCTTCCGGTTCGTGTTGTACCTGTTCGAGTAATTCAAATGGCTTTTGCGGTTGTGTTGGAGCTTTTGAATCAAGCATTTCTTGTTGTGGACTTTGTTGTTCTTTTTGTTGTTGTACGTAATGATGCTGATGATGGTGTTGGTGGTGATGATGATGTTGTTGATGTTGATGATTATGAATATGCTTTTGACTATTTTGCTCTTGCTGTTGTAACTTGAATTGTGTCTCCAAGTACTGTTTGTCCTCCCCCCACGTTTGCTGATTGAATTGATTGGTCTGCTCCTGACGCTGTTTATGACTATTACCACTACTGTCAGGGGTATTGTCATTGTGCGCAAGCTCTATCATAGATTGCTTCTCGACCGCAGTGTCCACAGGAATTACGACATCTTCCTGTTGCTGCTGCTGCTGCTGTTGCTGTTGCTGTTGCTGTTCCTGTTTCAATAGCCTTTCTATTCCCTCCAACTTTTCCTCCTGCTGCGCCAGCTGCGGCACTCTCTCTGCTGATGGCGTAAATGCCTTGGCTGCGCCTGTGGACTGTGGCATTGTTCTGTTGATCTCCTGCGGCGGCAGCTCAGTGCTACCAACTGTGTTTGTAGCATTGTTGTTGAAGTTTATGAAATTACTATTGTTGTTGTTAATGTTGTTGTCATTGTTATAATTTTTATTATGATCATTATTGTCATAAAGCAACGCGCTCTTCACATGTGCACTGATTAAGACCAGAATTGCGGTCGCCAGCAGGAGTGTGTAGTGTGTGCAGCTCAGTAGGCTCCGTCGTCCGTATCCAGCGCTACGGAATGACCGCATACGCATTGGTAATCGATTTTTGGTGGCAATTGTTGTTGTTGTGTTGTGCGCCATCTTGCACACACGTATCGTTTATTTACTTACAAAATTAAATTTCTCACCCAACACTAAACATTGATCGCTTGAAATCTGTAACTTTTCACTACGCACTTTTTCCTCACAAAGTTTTTTCACTTAAATAAATAAATACAAAAAAATAATACAAATTTTTTCCTTACAACACCGGTTTTGTGAGCTTGCAGGTTTTGCATTATTTGAAAATATCACCCATCAATTGGTGTCATGTGCCGTTGCCTGCTACTCACTTTGATTGTTGCAATTCGAAAAATTATTTACGTCACTCAATGCTTAATTGCCGTTATTTATTGATAGTTGATGCTCACTCATAAAGATGTGTGGCTGTAATTGAAGAAAGCAAAAATGATAATTGTTAGTGCTAGCATACAAACATAAAAACGTTTGTAAAATAAAGGCTTATAAATTAAATATTTATATTTCAACTTATGGTCGGAAGTACGAGTAAATACCAGCAGGAGAAGGGAGAGAACGACCAAAATTTATACCAAGACGAGTTGTCTCCGTCTATTTGAGCTCAGAAATACATTTATTGACAATGAAAATCAGGAAAAACAGAAGGCTATATCATATATTCAGCGACTACCAATTTGTTCCCATGTGAGGTTTTGGATCGAAAATTGGTATTCTTCGAAAGTTCAAAGAAACATGGAAATAGCACTCCACGCGCTAACTTGCCACGTCTTTTTTTACGAATATCTCGTGCACCTGAATCAACATATTAGCGTAATTCTGACCGTAGTAGGAAAGTAATCAATTAATAATATTCCCTTGCTCCCCCAGAAAATAGTAGCCATAATCTTCGACATCGACGTTTCCACTTTAAATTTTTTTGGTAACCCGGAATCATACTGATGAGTCTAAATTTCTTTTGCAGTTACAACGCGGCTGGAACTTCCATATAACTCATCTTGGTATAACTCCAAAAAATTTGTACAACTCTCCAATCGTCGCCGCTTGTCGAGCATACGCAGTACTCAATAATGTTCATACCCCCTGCTATCTGCCACAATTTAATATTAGGTCAAGTAAAAATTTCGTTCGGTTTTTAGTGATTTTTCACTTCATTATAGTCCTGGGTTCATTAGGACCTCCCATCCGTGTGTATCCTGACGTTGTCCTGATGGAAAACAATTCGGCCTCTGTTGATCAAAGGACCGAATTGAGTGTTTGGCCATAGGGGAGCAGCTCGTAGTAGATGATTCCTTGCAAAACCTGGTGTATCTTTGACATCGAAATTACCGGAACGAAACCTAGCAAACTACTTTTGTGCGACACATTCGTTTACAGTATCGGGCCCATAAACTAAATTGATTTTTCAGCTACTTTGGCTGCTTTTTCGCCTTGATCGAAGAAAAACTGTAAAATATAGCGTATTTTCTCTTTGCTGGTGTCCATCTTTGACGAGCACTCATAACGCACTGAGTCAATTAATCGTAAAACTGTCAAAGAGAAACTTTTAGCGCGAATAAAATCGTTTTCAGCGTAGTACTATGGACAATAACGCCATCTCTTAGATAAAAACCGAACGAACTCTTTACTTGACCATCACACAGTACTATCTACTTTTTCGACTTTCTGAACAGTTTCTTCGGTCACAACCATCACTGGACGCCCCTGGCAAAAGTCATCTTCACATGTTTCAATCACTATATACGGAGTTTCATAATGTTAGTTGTGTTTTTCCTAAAAAAAAAAGTATTAATTTATTCGTGAATATCTATTTTGTTCCCTTCAAAGTAGTCACCTTCAGATATAATGCCCTTTTGCCAGAGGGTTTCGGAAACAAAACGTCACATGGGGCCGGCCAAAACCAACTTTTAAGCTACCATAAATCCATCCACTTCTAGTGCGTTTCTTCGCTCAAATTGGGCATAACTAGCAGGTAATAGTCTTTATTGACCGTACGACCTTGTAGGAATAAGTCTTGATGCAGAACGCTCCTGCAATCGAAGAACGCTGTTTGTGTGAGTTCCGATACTCTTTTCACAAACTTCGTACTCTCGCGATTAATTCGGGCAGTTTATTTCCACAAAAGTAATTGACGGAGGTATGCGGTCTCTCAGCTTTTGTATAGAATATAAAATGTCCCTTCCAAGACGCCTTACGATAAAATTAAATAGTTAAAACCTTTAACTTTTGCTAATGGAAATCGTTTATGTAAGCCAAATGAATTGCATCAATGAATTTTGGAAATGGATAAGTTATGGTCCTTTCTCCCCTCAGTAATTATGACAAAAAACTTATACTTTCGAAAATTTCCCGAAGAAAACCTCTTTTTTCAAGCCAGATTTCATTTTGAATTAATTTTTAACTTATTTTCTGTAGAACGGCTACAAATTTATTTCCAAAATATTGGTTCGTTTCGCCCGACGCATCGCGCGCTGCGTCCAATATTTCCCATTTGGAGTGATAATCGCCGATACATCCTCAAAAGCTTACTGTTTAATGTGCTATAGTGCCATGATTAACGACTTTTTTTTGTACTTAAATTGGAGGATGTTAATGTGAACGACCTTTAGTTCCAACAAGACAGTGCTATATGCCATACACACAACGAAAAAAAACAATTTTAAGAAGGAAACTTATGGTGAGAGAATTATCTCCCATCATAGGCCTGTAGCGTTATGTGTGCACGTGGGATTGTGTGAAGTCGCTTGTCTATGTAGACAACCCGAGACGGTTGACTCCTTGGAAGAGAATAATCGCCGCGTTATTGCTGACATTCGAGCCCAGTTCCTGAAATTATTTGTCGAAAATTAGGCCTCTCGACTGAAATTTATACGACCCTTTTTTAAAACAGAATGGAAGGCAATAAGATGGAACCAGAACAAAACCCAGTCATGGTCTTACCAGTCCCTCTCAGAGAAGTGAAACTTGAACAAGCAGCTTTTTTCTATTGTCAAGCTAGTGGACTTTAGATACGTACAAGGAGATTTAGAAAACACAAATTATGTACAAAAAATATAATGCGAAATGTTTGATCTTGCCACTTATAAAACAATCAACTTGGAAAATTTTTCATTACTTTTGGGGTTATCTTCTAAGCAAGTGCTCTAATATTGAATACACGTATGGATCTATTAAAATATCAGATGTACAACTTTGCTTCTGCCGTTTTCCGATAGGTGGCTGTACCGGCTGAGGGTAGTTGAAATACATAGATGATAATGCCTTTAAAGTGAGTGTGGACAGTGCCCAACGAATTCTTGTCATTTGCGGGAAGTTTTGCTTTTCTGTTACAATTCGAAAAAAAATTCAGCTGAAGCGCATCGAATGCTCTCAGTAATTTACGGTGATGCTGCTCTGAGTAAAAGAACGTATCGGGAGTGGTTTCAACGTTTTAAAAATGGTGATTTCGATGCCGAAGACAAACATGGTGGTTATGAATCGTATTTGGTGGGATCAGCTCGGTGTGATTTACTACGAGATCTTAAAGCCGGGTGAAACCATCACAGTAGATCGGTACCTAACGCAACTGATGCGCCTTAGTCGCGCGCTAAAAGAAAAGCGGCCACAATATCAAGAGCGACCTGACAAAGTCATCCTCCAACACGACAATGCTCGGCCCCAAATCACAAAAGTGGTCAAAAAGTACCTGGAAACGCTGAAATGGGAAGTCTTGCCCCACCCGCCGTATTCTCCAGATGTCGCCCCTTCTGACTTCCACCTATTCCGTTCGATGGCACACGGGCTGGCAGATCAACATTTTCAATCCTTCGAAGATTTAGAAAAATGAATTGCTTCATGGATAGCGCCAAAAGAGGACTCCTTTTTTCGAGCCGGGATCCGAAAATTGTCGGAAGGATGAGGGAAAGTTGTCGCTAGCGAAGAATAATACCTTGAATAATATATCTGTAAGCACTTTTTCGCAATAAAGCTTTTAATTTTGGAAAAAAAAATATTTATTTCAAACCGTTTTTCTTAGGCGGCAAAAGTAAAATAAGAGTTAGCTAGATGCTTTTTATTATAAATGAAACGGAAAGCGTTGAAAATTTTTCCATTTTTCGAAATTAATACTTATAGGATTTCTCGGCTATATGCGAAACGGTTTGGCTACCTGGTCATAAGGACACTTCAGGTATCTGCTGACCAGATAGGGAACAATCATAACCCCGGGAAACTTTGCCTCTGATAAGTATGTGTTAAGACTAGCTTCCACCAGAAGGGCCAACAGCAGATGACAGATGGAAACCACGTGCAATTGATCCAAGTGAAAAGAATTAAGTTTTTGCTCCTTCTAAACATGACCTCCATTAGTATAACAACTGGCGTATTAAACGGAGAATCAGTTGTGTGGACCCATGGTAGGTGTTTGTCAAGTAACTTCTTTGTTACTGGCAAGTTCTCAGTGCTTTCCGTTATTGATTTCTCTAGGCATCGTTTACCTCTTGAACTTCGTAAAATACACTAAGCGGCTTGAGCATCTGGAAAAGTGAGAGAAATCTTCTTCACCGAACTAACTGCGCTACTCTCAACAACAATTATTAAATAATTAAATTAAAAAATAAATTTTTTTAAGAGAAGAGGGTAGCACGAAAAAGACAAACACGAGCGTTTTAATTTTCTTTACTTTTTTGTTAACATTGAAAGGCTTTGTATTTTATGAAATATATTTTTTTAATTTTAGAAAGTTGAAAATATATTTTTCTAAAAAATGAAATTATCAGCACAAAATAAAACAAAAGTCTAAAAATCTTTTTAAGTCAGATGGTTAATATTTTTGGAAAAAAACCACCATCTACCCACCTTGATTTTTGTATCACGGTAACCACCAAAAGCAGCACAAAATCTATTATCTCAAGCGAGTAGATAAATTCAAATTTTTGTATTCTTTCTTTGCTTTTGCGAAATAAAATACTAGATAAACATTGCCAGAGAACGCAATTAAAATGGGACAATTAAACCATTGCTGCTCATTTCTCGACATACATACTCGTATGTGTGATGTCGCTTGTGACCGGGAATTTCGCAAACACCGTTAGGCAAATTATATAGACGTACGAATATGTACTCGTATAGTGCCGACTTTGGCAACAACTTTCGGACACCCACCGCATAACTTCTGAAAATGGCTTGCAGAATTTACACAACCAAATTGACTGATACATAAAAACAAAACTAAGGGCAAAACACTAGTCGGAACTAAGTTGAGAAAATGCATGTGCGAGCATATACCCAGTATGAATTTAGAGAAACCCGGTCGGCTCGCACGGATACATGCGACCAATTTCACTTTGCATTGACCAACTTAAATGTCGATAAAATGTACACGGTACTTTTTATGAAAAGGTACAAAACACCTTCATGAAAACTCCCAGAAT